CCTCCCCCTCCGGGAGCCCCCGCCCCTTTCCTCAGAGACACTTCCCCCTCAGGGTCATCTTGTGCCCCCCCTTCCCCAAGTGCCCCCCCACTCCAGGTGGTTGTTCCCCTTTCCGGTTGCCTGTCTCCCCTGGGTTTGCGATCTCTCCCTGGCAGGCCTGGCCTCTCCTTGTGTGAATGCTGCCATAAAACATAATGAATAATAATCACCTGCTTTGTACAGAAAACAACGCGTGGGCCTGTAGCCCCTTAGAGTCATCTTGTGCCCCCCCTTCCCCAAGTGCCCCCCCACTCCAGGTGGTTGTTCCCCTTTCCGGTTGCCTGTCTCCCCTGGGTTTGCGATCTCTCCCTGGCAGGCCTGGCCTCTCCTTGTGTGAATGCTGCCATAAAACATAATGAATAATAATCACCTGCTTTGTACAGAAAACAACGCGTGGGCCTGTAGCCCCTTAGAGACTAACTGAAATAGAAATCGCACCATGTGCTTTCGTGGGCACAGCCTCAGATGAGAGTGAAAAAGAAAGGGGGAACCTCCCCAAAAGAAGGGAGAGGGGAAGGAAAGAAAACTGTCACTTGTAGTGCTAGTGCTAACTGTTGTGATTCTCTAACTTCTCAGGGCAGTGTGGAAACGAAGATGACTACAGCCGTTGTGCCAAGCAGCCCTCTGCCTTCACTAGAGGACAGACACATGTATTACATCTTGACAGATGATTTTCCCTATGGCAGCAAGCTCTTTCAAGCTGGGAGCATGTGCTTCCTCAAAGAGAAGACTTACCTGCACAGCATTGCCTGTGTCGGGACTTCCACTCAGTACTTGAGGGTCACCATGCTGGATGACAATTCCATAGTCACTGTCAAAGCAGAAATTCTTCATCCCCTGCCTGAGGAGGAAGCTGTTTTCCTTCTGGCCATTAACACCCTCAGTGAGCGCTTGAACTGTTTCCTGGACAGGCATAGCCTTGAAGAAGCAGTGAAGGCTACAGTGGGCCAGCAAGTGACAGTGGATCTCAACCAGCAACTGTTCACTGGTACCATTCGCTACATTGGGAAGATCAGCAAGAACTCTTCATCTTCCCCACACAGCCCATCCTACTTTGGGGTGGAATTGCAGGTAAGGTGATTCAGGGGAAGGAAGGCTCATTTCTCTCTCTGCCCGCCGCCCCCTATTAATTTTAACTAGGCCCAGCATCTCAGTCCAACAGAAAGAGGACTTGTTGAAAGGAGTGGACTTGCATTGCCTCTTGGCTCACATTTTATACTCAAACCTCTGTTTCAGGAAAGTAAATCTTGTTGCCTGGAAGCTTCATTGTAAAATGGGGATCAGTCTGTGTTCTGATCCATTATATAACAGCTCTGGTGTTCCTACTGGGTTTGGTGGGTACCGCACTTTGGGCATGAGGTCATGTCATTGTGCCAAGGGTCAGGTGGCTTCCCTCTGACTTGTCCCTACCCAGAGGGTGCATCTAGACTGGCAAGATTTTGCGCAAAAGCAGGTGCTTTTGCGCAAAAAGTTGCCAGCTGCCTACACTGGCCGCTTGCATTTGAGCAAGAGCACTGACTTTGTAATGTACAAAATCAGTGCTTCTTGCGCAAATACTTTCATGCTCCCGCTCAGGGATAAGCCCTCTTGCACAAGAATACTTGCGCAAGAGGACCAGTGTAGACAGGCACCTTAATTTTTTGCGCAAGAAAGCCCGATGGTTAAAATGGCCATCGGAGCTTTCTTGCGCAAAAGCGCATCTAGATTGGCATGGATGCTTTTGCGCAAAAGCATCCTTGCCAATCTAGACGCTCTTTTGCGGAAATACTTTTAATGGAAAAACTTTTCCCTTAACAGTATTTCCGCAAAATCATGCCAGTCTAGACGCAGCCAGTATGTAATGTGCTTTTCTGTTGGTTTTGCAGGGTGGTGGTGAAGGCAGAGGCCACTGCGATGGCACCTATAACGGCTCTGAGTATTTCAAATGTAAGCAGAACCATGGGCTCTTTCTGCCGGTTAACAAAATCAAGTTTATCCCAGTGCTGGACTGTGACTCAATGAAAGAGGAACCCCAACCAGATGTGGATGAGATTGTTCCTGTAAAAGTGGGGGACACAGTTGGCTTCTACCTGGATGAGGTCTTCAGGCAAGGAGTTGCTATGGATGTGCACAAGGAGGGAACCCAGTGGTTTGTTAAAGTTTGTCCGGTAAGAGGAGCTTGCCCTTCATTTCTTCTTGTTGTCCTTGCAGCCTGCTTGGTGGTAGGTGCCTTATCAATGTGCAAAATCAGTTCCCACATAGGTGGTGGTGGTGTAAGATTGTATGTCGTGTCTAGGGCAATCAAAACCATTGGTTCCTCATTCCATCCCACCACACCCCACCACTTACAGATCCTTTAGCTGGCATAACCCTCTATTGCATCGTCACTTATAGGAAGAAGAAGGAACAACAGATGTTTTCAGAGAAATCCCTATGGATTCTGTTGTGAAGGAAGGGCTGCTCTCCTCAGGTAAAGCAGCACATAAATACAGCCACCCTACACACTTAGAACCCAGTGATTGGGACGTGTTCATGTTTGGTTTTTCTTTTTCTTTCACCTTGTTCTCTGCAGTGTGGCTGACAAGTCTGAAACGCAACAGAAGAGTTTGTTCCATTTGTAAAAGGATTAGAGGGCTAAAGAAAATGCCCTACAGTGAGAGACTTAGAGCTTAGTATATTTAGCTTATTGAAAAGCAGTCTGAGAGGTGAACTGATTACAGGGTATAAAAACCTTCCTGGGGAGAAAATACAGAGTACTGCAGTTCTTTTTGTCTATTAGAAGGAGGCAGAACAGGAGCCAGTGTCTGGAAGTTAAAGCCAGACAAATTCAAATGAGAAATGAGACACTGATTATTAACAGTGAGGAGATTAACCATTAGAACAAACCACCTAAAAGAAGCAGTGAATTCCCCAGCGAGCAGTATAAAGAGGCTTTAGTCTGACTGAGAATCAGTCCCCTACGTTTCCTGACTCTTCTAAGAATGGCCGTATGGGGTCAGACCAATGGTGCGTCTAGCCAGCACCCTATCTCAAGTGGTGATCAGTACCACAGTTTGAAGGGGAGTGTACAGACCAGGACAATTTTGGACTGATCCACCTCTGTCTTCTCTTCTCTGTTTCTGATAGTGAGAGGTGTAGGGTAGCCCTAAGCATGAGGTTGCATCCCTGTCCATTTAGCTAACAGCCATTGATGGACCGATAAGTACACAGGAACGGCCATAGTGGGACAGACCAAAGGTCCCTCCAGCCCATTATCCTGTTTTCTGACAGTAACCAATGTCAGGTGGCCCAGAGGGAGAGAACAAAGGAATCCTGAAGTGATCCCTTCCTCAGCTTCTGGCAAACTGGCTAGGGACACACCTTAGGCATCTCTTTTCTAAGCTGAGCAGCCCCAATCTCTTTAGTATTTCCTCCCAGAGCAGCCATTCCGTAGCTTTGACCATCTTTATTACCCTTCTCTGCACCTCTTCCTGTTCCACTGTATCCTTTCAATGTGCCGTAGCCTCATCATATTCATTCTGTGAGCTTAAATCCACCTCTGAGAAGCACAGAGATGTCAGGTTGTGTGGTTATTAGGAATACAATGCTGCCAAATATTTGGTAACACTTACTCTAATGAACAAAGATTGAATTTCTGCCCCAGCTCTTTCCCACGCATTATTACGTGTTGTGTGCATTTTCAGAATTCGAGCCAGACATGGCTCCGGGATCTCTGAGACAAATAAAGCGAGAGAGAAGCGAGAGTGGTGAGGATTTGGAAAGTGGAAAACATTCCCTGGATGTGAACTCCGTGGTACAGATCACCTTGGACAAAGGGAATTCGGTCACTGGAATCATCCGCTGGTTGGGATACCTGCCCAACATTAAGCACAGAATGGCCGGGGTTGAATTAGTAAGTAGCAAAATAATTGTGTGTGTTCTCTAAGGGCACTAGGATCAGAACTGGCGTGTCATTTGGTGTTCATGGGCCTGTCTGTCTCACATCAGTAGGTGGAGCACTAACTCTTCATATTGCTTAATAAGAGTTAGGGCTGACTAAGCTAACCTCTCTTTCTGGGATCGTGGATGGGTTTCTATAGACACTGGTGCACAAACTTCCCTTAACAGAGGGAGAGTGGTATATAGATGAGAGCATGGAACTTCTGAGTTCTGTTCCTAGCCCTTCTATTGGTGTTGTAATCTGCCGCGGCTGCATGGTGTTCTCTCCTCTCTTTTTCCCCATCGGTAAATGGATTCCTTCTCACCCGTCTGTGAAGTGTTATGAGGCTTCATTACCTGTTTGCAAAGTGCTTTGGGATCCTTGGACAGGAGCTGCCGTTATTATTGGGATTTGGATTCATGAAGTTCATTCAGTGCTGGCAAGAGGTTAATGGTTCTAAAACCTAACTAAACTACGGGTTGGACCTCCCCTGTCCAGCACCCTTGAGACCTGACTGGTCCTGAACAAGGGGATTTGCCACACGAGGGGAGGTCCTTCCCAACGTGGCCCATGCTTCCCCCGGCTAGGACTCCAGCCGAGCCCCACTGCTGCCTGCCTGGCTGTGGCTCCCCAGGCTGGAGCTCCATGGCTCCACAGCTGCTGGGGCAGCAGGGGCTCTGTGGCTGCCAGGGCTCCGTGGCTGCCAGGGCTGAGGCTCTGTGGCTGTCAGGGCTCTGTGGCTGCCAGGGCTCTGCATCCGCTGCCGGCTCCTACTACCAGCCGGAAGCAGGGGCCAGAACTCCCTGCTGCACTGCCCGCCCCCCCTCAACACAGGGCTCCTGGCTGAGTCGTGCCCCTCCCTGCTGCCCTGTAGCCTGACCTCCTTATACCTGGACTCTGTGGTTCAGGAACATCCATGGTCCTGCTGGACCACAGATGTTGCCGGACCAGAGAGTACAACCTGTACATGAACAAGCGGGTCAAAATAAGCACAGAATTCTGTGTAGTGGTCAGGTCATGAAATCCCATCCTGGCATCCACCCTGGTGCAGCTGTCAGAAGTGCAGTTCTGACTGTGATTTATTCAATAGTGTGTCTGGTCACATGTAGAATTTCAGTTGATCGTGCCTCCTTATGGTGCGATTGTTCCTGTTACCCTTTTTCCACAGCTGTGCTCACAACTGAATCTATTTGCAGAACCTTACAAACAATTGAATGAAGCCGCAGATCCCTTAGAAATCCTAGATACAGTTTGTCCAGGCGTCTGCAGGCTGTGGGTTGAAAACCAGTGTTGTATGGCAGTGGGTCTCACTCAACAGTACATTGAATCCCCCAGGAGTGCGAGATCTTTTCGGAGAACACCAACTCATCTAGAGATTTGCCCACTTTCACAACAAGCTACATAAAATAGCGCTAGCAAAGTCAGTACAAACTACAATTTTGTACTGACAGTGACTTGTTTTACTGTTCTAGATACTACACACTGAAGTGTAAGTACAATATTTACATTCCAATTGATTTATAATTATGGTAAAAATGAGAGAGTCCGCCATCTTTCAGTACTAGTGTGCTCTGACGTGCGTTACTGATTTTGTCAGCAGTAGTTGGTGTACACAAGACAAATCAGACTCCAGAAGGGGGACAATAATCTGGAAAGGTTGAGAGTCTATGGTAATGAAAACCTTTCACTGATCTCTTAGACCTAGTCTGTAGACCCCCAGGGTCTCTGGACCACAGGTTGAAAACCACTGATCTAACTCACTCCTAGAGGGCCTGACTTGGAACTGCTTGTGGATGGATTTCTGCCCTTTTCACAGGATCAAGAGAAGGGGATCACAGATGGCGAATGGCAAGGTATGCGCTACTTTCACTGCCCCCCTAAGCGTGGCCTTTTTGTGAAGCTGCAGTCATGCCAGCCTGACATGCGCTTCCAGAGTGTGAGCATCACCCCCCTGGACGCCAGCACTTCCGGTGAGTTCCCTTAAAAGCTGCCAAAAAGCGAGGACAGGAGGTTCACATGTGAGGAGTCATCTTGGCCAGTCTGTGTGTTGTGGACCAGCATTTTGCCCTCCCTTTTTCGCCAAGAAAAATTCTTTGGAACATAATTAAATCTACTGCACTTTATATTCCCCAGCCTGTCCCCATTGGAGCGGACTCGGGGGTTAATTTTTTTCTGTCCCCTTGTTTCTCATTCTCCCTCTTCCTTTCACTGTCCATTTCCAAGCTATTCATGTAGCGCCAGGGGACAGAGGGTTGGGTCTCCTGGCTTCTACTCTGATATTTGCCACTGGCTTGCTGTGACTTTAGGCAAGTTGCTTAAACTCTCTCTCTCTTGTCGAACTTGTGCAAAGTTCTGCATTGTGGGCGTGTTACTTGCCAACCACACGGGAATGTCCTCAGGCTAACGCAGTTGAGATCCTGCAGCTTTATTGTCGCCTTGCCACTTGCACTACGTGCTAGCTCTGCCCTTCAGGACGTTACGTGTGCCATAGTGGGCTAGTTACGGGCCAGCTGGAATGGTAGGATGTCCACAGTGGCATGGAGCAGAGGGTGTAGAGCTTCAGGACAGAGCTGTAGACTCCTCACAATAATTGCCCCTGAGCCTCCTGCAGCTTCCCTGTACCTGTGGAGGCAGGGCAGGAAAGTACAGATCCCACTACAGTGGCATTTTTGCTGCTTTTCTGAGCTAGTGCACTGTTCCTTCCCTCCCCTGGTGTAGTCAGACCAGCTACTCCATAGCACGCCCAAGCTGGCAGCAATATGGCAAATGGACATTCATATACCAACTTGGGCTTTCAGCACCAGCCCTGGGAATCCCTGTAGCTGGTTGTAGGGATGTGAAAGTGTAAATGGTTGGCCGATGAGCCTGGGCTCATCAGTTAGCCTTCACGGTTGTGCCCAGGCCCTCCTGCTCCCCACGCAGCTGCCTCTGTATCAGAGGCAGCCACGCAGGGGTAGGTATAAGCCAGTGCTTGTGGGGATCCGGCTTTTAAGCCAGCTCCCACCTGTCCCCTTCCCCTCACTTCTGCTGCTGTCTCTGTTACAGAGGCAGTGGGGGGAGGTGGCTCTGTGGGAGCCGGTACATGCGGGGAGCCAGCTTAAAAGCCCACTCTGGACACCCACCAGCTCCTGGAGCCCCACCTCTCCTTGGTGAAAAATTCAGCAGTTACATGTTTCCCCAACTAAACACTTTTTTTTTTTTTTTTAAATAATGGAGATTATTCCCCCAGAACTGGAAGGGACCTTGCAAGGTCATGAGTCCAGTCCCCTGCCTTCACAGCAGGACCAAATACCATCCCTGACAAATTTTTGCCCCAAATCCCTAAATGGCCTCCGCAAGGATTGAACTCACAACCCTGGGTTTAGCAGGCCAATACTCAAACCACTGAGCTATCCCTCAGTGGCTGATACATCCCTAGCTGGCTGGTAGCAATGTGAATGGCTAACCAGTGAACATCACCTTTACTGGGTGATACTTACTGGTTACAGTTAACCAGCAGAGGCTGGAGCGGTCCCCTGCTCACCAAAAGGCAGGGGGTTGCTCCGGCCCTGCTGGGCCTGCCACAGCTCGGGGTGCCAGGGCCTGGCTGGAGCAGCCCTGCCCATCCCTCTTTGATGGGTTAAAGCTGTTGGACGCTTCCAGTGCAGACGCATTTTCTAGAAGTGCTTTTCATAGAGATCCCATTGTCTCAAGCTTACAGTCAACACCATGTCAGGAAGTTAGCGCTCTCCGCGGTGAGCCCTTTCAGCTGACATGAGGATAGCAGTGGCGGGTGAGGATGGCTGGGAATGTGTGGTGGCTAAAAAAATCTAGCAGCTGAATGAGTGATCAGGAGAAGTACAGAGGTTCCCTCTCATGCAGAGGTTATGGGTCTGTGCTCTTGCAACAGATTATAGTGGTTAAGAATGTCAAACAGTCCAGTCCCCATTAGGAATGTCAGCATGTAGATGGCTACACAATTAGCCGATAAGCCTGGGCTTATTGGTTAATCTTGTCGACTACACATATTCCACCCCCCACCTTGCTGCCTCTGTATCAGAGGCAGCAAGGGGGAGTGGGAGCCCCGGTGCCCATAAGGAGCTGGCTTAAAAGCAGGCTCTCAATGAGCACTGGATCTGCCTCCCCTTGCACTTCTGCTTCTGATAGAGAGGCAGCAGCACAGAGAGTGATGGGGGCAGGCTGGCACTGATGCGCACGTGGAGCCAGCTTTCAAGCTGAGATCCCCTACAGACAGGGGCTGCTGCCATCCCACACTGCTGCCTCTGTATCAGAGGCAGAAGCGCGGGGCAACAGGCCGGAGCTGGTCTGCGTGGGGAGCTGGTTTTTAAGCTGGCTTCCCTCGTGGACTGGCTCCACCTGCCACCCTGCACTGCTGCCTCTGATAGAGTGGCAGCAGTGCAGGGTGGCAGGAGACTCCCCGGGAGTGGGGTTGGAGCACCCTGGATGCCCACCCCACCTCCGGGGACTATTGAATAGTCGTGTAACCGCTAAGATTGCATGCGGTTACACAACTATTAAGTTACACAATATCTATCCTCTCTAGTCCCCATCCCAGAGAGGTTCCTGTCTAAAGGAATGGGTGGGTGTAGTATAGAACAGTGCATTGTGACCTTTATAGGTGGGTTAGGCCTACAGGAAAGGCCAGGAGGGCAAAACTGTGTAAGAGAAGGCTAGAAGTGGCAGCTTCTGTTCTTTCTGTTGCAGGTGAGATAGATGGTCCTCAGGTTCTGGCTAATTCTCCTCTCGAGAATGGCGCAGCTGTGCAAGTTTTACAAGGGCGGATGAGAGGAATTCAAGGCCACTGCAACTCCTGCTACATGGATGCTGCCCTTTTCAGGTAGGAGGCACTTCGCTCCTCTTTACCCACAGGCACCATCTCCCTCTGTTAAGTGATGGCCATAATTCAGGGGTGATGTTCCTAATTGAGCCTCAAGCTAGGCAGCTCACCAGGAGCGTAGGGGTTACATGTAATGTGCACAAAGGAGAGTAGAATGCAATTGCTCTTTAATATAGAGATGCAGCTTACAGTTGACAGGTCCCTCCTGCATAATCTGAACAAGAGAGTTCTTCGATGGTAAGCACGCGCCATGTGTTCAATGAACAACCGTAGGTCGTCCCACTAGACTAAATTGCTGGTCTCTTGCCCAGTATATCATCTCACGTAACGGCCAGAAACTGGTATGTCAGAGAAACCTTCAGGAATGCACCTAGCTGAGGGCGGAATGCTGTGTGTGGGAGAAAAAGATCCTTTGGTGACCCCCAAGACTAGTCAGTTTTAGCCCTGTAGACAGATTTGATTCACACCCTGCCTCGCTACAAATGTTCCTAAATTAGTCAAGCCACAGGATTTCACTTAGCCACAATTCATGGAAAACTTTCTCATTTCACGCTGCCTACGTTCATGCATTCTGTCTCTCGGTCCCTTGCTTTAAAAATGAATGGTAGCTTAGGTACCAATGATCGCGACTGGGTCCCATTTCTAGTGTCCAAGCAGAATAATATTCAGGCCAGTTACATATATGTGTGTTTGTTTGTGTGGTGCTTTAAAAAGGCAGATTTCACAAAGCGGGAAACAGGAACGAGCCTGTATGTTTTGGGGGTAAAAAAAAAATGATGCAAACACATCACTTGATGATGTGACACCCTTTCCATTCCACGATTATTTTGGGAGGGTGTTAAACAGCAGCTGCTGAAGTTGGACATTTTTAAATTAGAGTGTCCAGATAATTTGCACCCAAGAGTTTTAAAGAACTAGCTGAGGAGCTTGCTGGACTGTTAATGTTAATTTTCAATAAGTCTTGGAACACTGAGGAAGTTCCAGGAGACAAAGAAAGCTAATGTGCCGGTGTTTTAAAAGGGTAAAGGATGGTTCGGTTAATTATAGTCCTCTCATCCTGCCTGGGATCAGTGTCAGACTAACAGAGCAGCCCGTACAGGACTCAATTCACAAAGAATTAAAGGAGGGTAACATAATTAATGTCAATCAACATGGGTTTATAGAAAGTAGATGATGTCAAACTAACTTGGTATCTTTTTTGATGAGGTAACAAGTTCAGTTGATAAAGATAATAATGTTGATGTAGCAGACTTCTCTAAGGCAACTGAATTGGTATTGCAAGGCATTTTCATTAAAAAACTAGAACAAAATAAAATGAACGTGGCACACATCTGAAAATCCAGCTGACTGATAGGTCTGAAACTGTATTTGTAAATGGGGAGTCATCCCTATGTGGATGTTTCATGTGGGCTCCCGAGGGATCGGTTCTTGGCCTTACACTATTGAACATTATTATCAATCTGGAAGAAAATGTAGAATCATCCCTGGTAAAGTTTGCCGATGGCACAAAAATTGCAGGGAGTGGTAAATAACAGAGAGCAGGTCACGGCTAGCGAATGGCATTGTTTGGTAAACTGAGCATAAGCAGACAATAGGCATTGTGATAGGCTGGATGTAAATCTATACGTCAAAGTATGCAGGCTGGACTCAGAGCACGGAGGGTTGTACCCTGGGGAGCAGGACTCTGAAAGAGATTTGAGATTGTGGTAAATAATCAGCCAAACATGAGCTCCCAGTGCGATGCTATGGACAAACCGGCTGTGATCCCTGGGTGCCTGAGCAGGGAATTTATTTTGCCTCTGGTGCAGCTGCTGCTGAAATATTGCATCCAGTTCTGGTGTTCAAGTTCAAGAAAGACGTTGCTAAATTGGAGATGGCTTAAAGAGAGGAGCCGAGAGACTGATTAAAGGCAAATATGCCTTATAGTGAATGACGGCTGGAGCTCCATCTATTTAGCTTAACTAAGAGCATGATGAGGGTGACTTGATCGGTCTATAAGCACATACCTGAGGAACAAATACTTGGTAATGGGCTCTTCAGTCTAGCAGAAAACGGTTTAACATGAAACCAGTGGCTGGAAGTTGACACTAGACAAATCAGAGGTGTGACTTTTTAACAGCGAGGGTAAGTAACCGCTGTATTGGAACAATATTCCAAGGGTCATGGCAGATTCTCTATCGCTGGCAGCTTTTAAATCAAAATTGGATTTTTTTCAAAAGATATGTTGTAGGAATTATTTTGGGGAAGTTCTATGACCTATGTTATTGATAGGCTTGGAAGGACTTGATATTTTCGGTGAATGTTGGTAAACATCCATTTCACCGCACACCCCAACAAAAAACATTTCATTAATAATTGAAAAGAGTGCACTTGAGAATTGACTGGAGTTTGATTTACTTACTGTGTATATTTTGCCATGTGATATTGATAATTTATGTTTTAATGGTTAGAACTTTAACTTTAGCTTTAACTTCTTGAATCTTGACTTCTACTGTCACTACTTAATTGTCTGTAATTAGTTACTTCCTGCAGCTGTAAAGTTGATAAAAAATCTATTTAGCAATTTTTATTTTTATTTGTCAATATTATAAAAAAATGAAAACCAAATTCTGCCAAGCTTCACTATAGAGGAGGACAGATTAGGTGTTGCCTTCTGGTCTTGGATCTGTGACTCGATAAATCTCTCTCTTTCTCTGTCCATATTATGCTTTGTATCGTTTAAACCAAACCCCAACTGCATTATTACCGGATTCCACTGTCTGCTGTTAGTTGTTGCTGCAAATCCAGCTGAGTTACCAAGCGCTGTCTCCTCACAGCCTTTTCTCCTGCACCTCTGTGCTGGACTCCATGCTCTTCAAGCCGTCCCTACCACCCAGTGGGCACGTCCAGAAGATCCTCCGGGATGAGATCGTGAATCCCCTCCGACGGTGAGTACCGTGGGAAAGACCACTGGAAGCCAGCAAGTCTCTTTTCTGGAATCTCCATGCTGCTGTCACCTCCTTCCAGTGGGAATTGGGTCTCTTGCGGCTCAGATGCTACTGAGACCAGATGTACCCTGGAGATTCACATCTCTTGGCCGTCTCTAAAGTTCTTCCTGCTCTTCCTTCCTACTCGGATTAGCCCAGTGACCGCCGAAAGTAGATTTCCTTTGCTAACTGCTGGTGTGTTATGCACTGGGACAGATGTACAGAACGGAGCCAGCGGTGGAGATAGTAATGTCCCCTTTCAGAAGCGTGGTGGAACGGGCCTTTACAATGGGTTTTTTAGCCCGCTGGCCTCATGGCCTCAGTAGGTGGCGCTAAATCTCCCACTAGAATTCAATCCCGGGAATGCCGCAAAGCCCCTGGCAGGAGAAGGCTGCTTATGGTTCTTTGTTGGTCCTTCCAGAGGACTTGGGAGTAGTGTTAACGAGCCGATCCTACTCCCTGGCCAGAAGACTCGTGGCTGAAGGTGAGAGGGTTACAGAAGGGATCCCAGGGGCTCAGAGGTCTCAGTGGAGAAGTTGCAGGAGAGGGGAAGAAATTGATAATAAAAGGCTGGGTCTAGGGACAATCCCTGCAGTGTCACATGAAGGACTCTGCTTTCATCTGTGGCCCTGATTTCTTGCTCCTGAGGCTGGGAGTGCTGCTGATAAGGGGGCAAAGTCTCCAGGGAGCAAGTAATCCAAGTTGCTTATCAGCTGCCTCATAGAAATACTGGCTCCAACGGGTCACCCGTGGTCTGCCAGCCTGCACGACTGGTGACTGAGCCAGGGCCTTGCAGTGGGTATTGAGCATCCATTGGCCTTCATCAATGATATTTATCGACCCCCTTCCCTCCCCAGTGCTTTGGGGAGAGGAGTGTTGTTCGTTCAGCGCTGCTTGTGGTTGGGTGCTCACTTCTTGCCCTTCGGGGGGGTGCATCTTTGATTAGGATTTTGGAAGGTGGGCTCCAGGCATCACCTGCTGTATTTTCTGCCACTGAGATGTAAGTCTGCCGCTGCACAGATTGCTCATCACCACCTTCCCCTCATTCCCAGGAATGGCTTTGTTGCCGCTAGTAGTGTGATGCACCTGCGGGAGCAGCTGACGGAGAAGGGCCAGTGTTCAAGCTTTACTACGTCTGAGAAAGGTGATGTGTTCTCTGCTGGCCTCTTGCCTCCATATGGTCTGCTTATCCTCTGCTTCCCCCAGCCAGGCAGCCCTCCGGCTCGCTACTGTCTGCCCCCAGAGCACGCGTTCTGCAGCCTGGAGAATTCCTCACACGCCTTAGATTTGGCCATGCAGGACAGTTCCCTGGGTATGAGGCAAAAAGACTGCGATTGCTAGGTCCCTGGCTGCCAGCCTCAGAAGAAACCACCACCAACGCAGAATTTGCCCAAGGCTGGTTTCTGTCTGACCCATCCATTTGTATTTGCTGTCGAGTTCAGCATTGTTCGTCTGAGAAGGGGTGTTAACCATGTTGTCTCTGCCAGACTCCACAATCTCCTCATTACATTTAGCTCACCGAAATTCCTCTGCAGATTCACATGGATACTGGAGTCTGCATATATTCGTCTTAATTGTTATGTGCGTTTGAACATAGAGAGACATTCCCATCCAGGGCTAGAGAAGTGATACTTCACCTGCCTTACGAGGCAGCTACCACTTAAGTTGATCTCACTGCCGTGGCTCAGGGATGGGGAAAAGCCACACCCCCCAAGCGTCGCGAGTTCCAGCCACCTCAACACTGTCCGCACCGGTGCTTTGTTGGCAGAAGAGCAGCGACCTGCCACAGCGAGATTTGTAAGTGCTTTGAGAAGTGCAGCTAAAAGGGACGGCAGCATGCCACAGGGTTATTGAAACACCCAGATGCTAGCATCATGGCTGCATAAATATGAAAAAGTAGAAATGACACTAAATCTTCTGGTCTCGTGTCCTGTTGTTCACTGACCAGTGTTTTTGTTTCCTCTTTCTGATACGTTCTTGTATCTTGAGCCCAAACTTTTGCTTTGTTCCTGCCGTTTCCAGCCTCGTCCGTGATTTCAGTGTCGGTTAATGCATTTGGTGCTGGTAATCAACACCCTGGAGATCTTCCTCTCCAGGCTGCTTGAGCCCAGATGAATGGAATAAACATACCTGAAAAGCAAAAATATGATTTCCTCTCCATATAGCTAAAAAAATCATTCAGCACAGTAGGGGTTAAGAGCCTGTCCTTGTACCAAGCTTCTCCTTTCCCCTCTCTCTGTGAAAAGTTGTCCGTGTTTCAGTGGCCAATGATCGTAGGACTTTTGAGCTATGGAAATAACCAAATGTGTTCAGCTCCTAATTGGATCTGTGCCCTGCCTGGAGAAGCTCGGTGTGTCAGCCCGTAGCTGACAGTGCTTTACCCCTTCTGGCTGAGATGGGACAAAGTGTGCTGGGTGTGGGGGGGCCGGATCTGAGGTGTGATTTCCTTGCACTTACAGACCCTGAGGAGTTTCTCAACCTCATCATGCATCACATCCTGGGAATAGAGCCACTACTGAAACTGCAGTGAGTTGCTGTCTCTGGGGGTTCTTGCTAACGCAGGGACAGTGTTGCCTGCACTTGAGATTGGGGCGGGAAGGAGCTGACTTGGGTCGTTAGATGACGCCTGGCTGGAGAGGAGCAGTGAATTTCCCTTGTGCGTGAAGGAGATGGAGACGTGTGTCTGCTTTGTGCCCAGCTATTCCCTGCTGTGCTCCTGAATCCCAGCCTGCCCACCATGTTGTGGTCCTATCCCAGGAGGGATTGTACTTGGCAGATGTTTATAACCCCACTCCCAGGTGTGCTGTCTTCAGAGGGTGGGGAAGTGCATAGTGTCGTCCCTGGATAGGACAGTGATGGCACGGGAGATGCAGGCCTGGTCATCCTAGTCTGCAGTAGGTTGGTCTGGGAAATGGTATCTCAGAGATCTGAAGAGTCTGTTGTTTCCACGCAGCTAAGCTAGCTGAGGGCCTACAGCTCCCAAGCAGGAAATCGATGGAGTTTGCTCCCAGAAGCCCTGTTTTGGGGGGACAGGCGACTCGCTTAGTGTGAGGACTCTGAAGGAAACCAGAACTAGCTGCACTTTTCAGGAGAATAGACTGGGGTCGCCGGCTTTCTGGGCTCCCCGTGGAGGGATGTGGAGTGGCTTGTATCATGGGGCAACTTGGAAAAGCAGAGATACAGAGAAACCTCTCTCGCTCCACTCCAACCCTCCGGCTAGGAGGCCCTTCTGAAGCAGCCATGCTGGGACAGCACAGGGCAACACAAGGACCCTAGAGGGTCTTTCACGTATAAGTTGCCTTGTGAATGCAGCAAGCTTTGCTGTGCAGTGTCCCGGGTTGCTGGATCTCAGAACAGGCGCTCAGAACTCAGCGACAGGGATTCTGCAGTCACGCTACGACGTGACAGGCCGAAGAGACGATCCGCGTGTCTTCGTTTTTAAAATCAAGGGGAAAGCGTGTCTGGCCCACTCCTCCCAGAGCAGCAGAATGCGACTGGGAATGAAACTGTCGGTATCTGTCACCCGTCCGTGCTGGGTATTTCTCCGTAGAAGATAGAGCAGGGACCCCTGTGTGCCAGGTTGGAGGCTGTCCTAGAACATGCGCACTGTGTCCCGTGAGCACACCATGACCATGGCACCAGGGGGTTCCTGGATAGTGCAGAGAGGCAGCCCCAGTGCCCTGACTCTGGACTGTTGCTCCCAGGTCCGGAGGCCAGAAGGAGCAGGAGTGTTACTATTACCAGATATTCATAGACAAGCAAGAGGATCTGGTGGTGCCCAACGTGCAGCAGTTAGTGGAACATTCCTTCCTGTCTTCCAGTCTCAAGCTAGTGGAGGTGAGTGCCCGTCGTCCAGGCCTGCCTTGGTTCCCTGCCCCCCTCGGCCGCGTGCACACGACTTGTTAGAACCGTTTACTCCCCTCTCCGCTCCAAGGCTGCCTAGTGGATGTGAGCCTAGGCTCCCGGTGCAGCAGAGCCCCCCAGAACACTGCGGATCCTGGGGCACGCTATGGAGAACGTGCCCTCCCCCGGGAGGAGATTGTGTGGGCAGGGCAAGGAGTTTGCTCCCTTGTTTGGTGACTTGCTTCTCTTCTCCCAGATCCCCTCCTGTTTCATTATCCAAATGCCCCGGTTCGGGAAGGAATATAAAATGTTCAGCAAAATCATTCCCTCCTTGGAGCTGGACATCACGGACCTGCTGCTCGACAGTAAGTTCCTGGGCGGTGGTGAGCGCATGGCTGCCTTGCACGGGAGCGCTGACACGGGGGGGAAGGCTGGCCTAGCTAGATTGTCGGTGGCGTGGTAGGGGTGGGACTGGGGTGTGATTGCTGCTCCCTGGCATGGCCGGCGCAGGGGCCAGTGCGCACTGAGGCCCTGGGATAAAAGCGTGTGTTCCCCCTTCAGGCCCCCGGGAGTGCTTTGTGTGCGGGGACATCGCCACCCAGGAGTGCTCCGAGTGCTTCAGAGACGCGGTGTTTGCCGACATGGGGATGAAGCAGTACTGCAACTCCTGCTGCAGACAGGTAGCCAGCTGACGGATCGCCCCCCACTCCTCGACAGCAGCTGTCAGACTGAAACCTCTGAGCTTCCCCTGCAGCTGGTCAGGTGGGAGGCCAGACCAGATCAGCGCTCAGGGTAGTTACGGCTTGACTGAGTCTCTGCAGGCTGGGAGGGCAGAGCCCTCCTGCTCCCTGCTGCACACTCACTTCTCCTTGGAGGCCCCCGTCCAAGCGCAGCCCAGGAGCGGCAAGCCTGGGGTGTTTGCTCCCCGCCGGAGAACACGGCCTGCTGCGGGTCCGGAGAGCGGTAAAACTGGCACCGGGTAGCAGTCTCCTGGCCCGTGGCAAAGCCCCAGCTGAGGAGTTGAGTGGAAAGCAGGTGACCTCGCTGCCCGCCTGTCCCCAGACACTGCCGCTTCCCCTGTGTTGTCACGCCGTGTTGTCTGTCCCCAGGTTCATTCTCACTACCGGCGCAAAACGCACAGGCCGACAACGCTGCACGTCCCTGAAGCGTTTCAGGTCAGGAGCCAGATGGGCAGCCCACGCATCCCGCGGGAGAGGATGGAGCTCTTTGCAGTGCTCTGCATAGAGACCAGTCACTATGTCTCCTTCGTGAAGTACGGGCCGGAGAAAGAGAACTGGATGTTCTTCGACAGCATGGCTGACAGGCACGGTGAGGGGGGGCGCTGCTCGGGGGGAGGCTGGCCGGCCGGCCCTTTCCACCCAGACAACCCCAGGCAGGAATTGCAGTCCCAGCGCAGAACCGACAGGAGTAAATTCTCCACAGATCTGGAACCAGGGGGCCTGTGTGTCTGGACTCCTTTGGGTCTGCGTGCTGGGAAGCAGGCCAAGGTGCCTCTCCGTTAGTGTGTAAAACTGCTCCCTCCACAGCAGTGCAAATGCACCTGCCGTTTTACAGGGAGTTTAGCCCTGGGGAACCGGGCTGGCTCGGCAGCTCTGGGGAACAGATACTAGCCAGGCTGCCCCCCACCACTGCCCACCAGCGTGCTTCAAACCGCAACTCAAAGGACTTCTCTGGGTGCAAGGCCAGCTCAGGCAGGGCCTGGTTAGTTCCTGATCTCTCTGCTGACACTAACACGGGGCCCAGTTAATGCCACTCGCTCTAGTGTTCTTTTGTGCCATTGTGATGGCGTGTTGGGGGGGCCCAAGCCTGCACCTCTGTCCGCAGCCAGGTGTGACTCAGCCAGCAGGTAGACTAGAAGGTTTATTGGTTCACAGGGACACTGCGTAGCATAGGATCGATGTTAGCACAGGTACCCAGAGCAGACAGTTACTCCTCTCGGGGGAAGGGCTCCTGGGCCCTTCACCCCGCTTTCCTGCTCTAAGTCTCAGCACTCATCCTAGCCCAGATGGGACTGACTCACCCTCACTGCCCCTGGGCACTGGCCCCAGGCAGCCCCGTCTCCTACATGGTCCTGCTTCCAGGCCCAAGGTGTTATCTGCTGTCACCTGGTCCTCGGGGCGTCAGAGACTGAACATACTTCCCCAGGGAGTCACGCCCAGCCTCCCCCTCCTCATGCAGACAGTGCTGCAGGGCCTGGGGAGACTGAGGTGCACGCGCACACACAGAGAGTGAGCGCCTCACTACAGAGCAGCACAGGACAGTAGGATTACACATAACCCCACAAGACAAATAGCGAATGCAACACCAGAGTGAGCACAGGACTACAAAAGTAGATAGCACCCCCCACTACGTCACAGCCAGCAACACTTGGCTCCTGGGAATTGAAATTTAGGCTCATGCTTCTCTCTCTCTCTCTCATATTCAGGTGATGAGAATGGCTATAACATTCCCATCGTCAAGCTGTGCCCTGAAGTTGCCAAATACCTGCAGTTGCCAGGGGCAGCGCTGGCAATGGAGCAGCCCCGGGACATGGAAGGCGTGGCCAAGCGCCTCTTCTGTGACGCCTACATGTACATGTACCAGAGCAAGAAAATGTCACTTTACAAATGACACCAGCCTGGCAGGGAGAGACCTTGCTATCCGCAAGCAGAGCTGAGACTCACTGGAAATGGGGGCATGGCTCAGACCAGTCGGTAGCTGCCAGCTGTTGCTAATTGAGAAAAGCCAGCCAGAGTCCGGGTCAAATGACCTTTCAGCTTTGCCTCTGCTAACCTCTTCCAAAGTCTGCTATCAGGCTGTCGATAAGAGCAGCCTTCGGTGGCTGGCTTTACCCGAGCAACAGTGCGAATCCAGACTCTGAACTGCTGTTCGCACTTTTACGTATGTTGAGTGAGGGAACTTCACCTTCACCCCATTCCTCCGCCCACACCCTGGATTTCTGTCCTTCTTTCCTGTCCACAGTTACAGGCCCACCAGAACCCCTCCAGCCTTCTGCTCTCCCAGTGAACGCTTCCCCAAAGGTTAGGAATCAAGCAGCCCGAGTCAAGGCGTGGGCCGTGACGCTCAGGTTTTCAACAAAGCACAAGCGATCTGCACTAGCCCTCTGGGTGACATTTCAGTTCACGGGCTTCCTGCCTGTAAACGCAAAAGTGCCTCATAGATGATCAGGAGCCAAACATCTCAGGAAGGAAATTTTGTTCACATCTGCACTGAAGTCTGTGGTATGGGCTGTGATCCTGAAGTCTCAGTAACTGGGGCTATACCGAGCAGCCCAGTCCTTTGGACGCAGACCTGCCCTCATTTATAACTCTCTCGTGTGCCTTTACTTCCCCAGTTCAGCACCAGTGTCTCTGACACGCTGCTTAACTTCAGTAGCACGTTTTGTTGGAAGTCCCCTCTGGTTAGCCATGACATTTGGCTCGAGACTTGAAACAGCAACACAAAGCTTCAAGCTGCACTTTGAACAAAAATGTAATGTTAAGAACAAAACTAGGGAAGAAACAGTCGAAACCAGCATAGGAATGTCTTCTCCCAGGGCTGCGTGATTGCTCGGCGCATGCGGCTTTTAACGGTAGCTCGTTATTTTAAAACTCATTGTTCTGATTTCCTGAGGTACATTGTGGAACAGCAGTTACCCAGCAAACCTCCCAGAAAAGATGCTTTTTAAACTTGAACATGTTCAGCTTTTCCGTCCAGCACTGGACCAAAGGTTAGGGTCCATCTCGGGGGAGTCACTGGCTTTTAACTTTTTTTTAAAACAGCAAAGCTAATGCTTGCAAATTTGGTGCTGAGCCTGCAGCATAGTGTGTGGTCTCATGCTGGTAGGAGCCCACTAAGAGAACCAGTAGTATGGAGCAGATTGCCCGTACTTCACCCCACCGAAGTCCACATGGACAACTTGTCGAGAAGCTGAAGGCAGTGCCCTGGCTGGGCGTAGAGCCGGTAGCTGATCACAGCTGCTCTCTTTCTTACCTGCAATGCGGAGCTGCGACTCGCAGCATGTAACACTGCGCTGCTGTGACTAATCTGTCGCTCAGGGGACAACATTGTGTTGTCGTGATGGGCTGCCCCTTTCCAGCAGAGATGAAGGAAGTCGTGGTTCATAGCACCATTGGTTGCTTGGGGCCCGGGGTTTGGCCACTGTGTTAACCAGTGCAGTGTTAAACATCGGTGTTAGCTCATAACAGCCTGTTACTGTTTGACATGCATTGCGCTCTTTCCACGGGAGGGCCCCTTTCAGCTGTTGGGCAAATTATCCCCAGAATGAACTTTAGATTTGCCAAAAGGCCTTGAGGACAAGAGCAAAACTGTTAACAGGCACAGAAACCAAAGTTACAGCTGTGCTGGTGGCAGAGAGAAGGCAGGAAACGCAGGCGGCGAATGTCGCTTCTTAGATGTCACCCTGGATTTTGAAGGTTTTGCCCTGAGGAACTGATCCCGACTGGTGCTGAGCACCGGTAACTCCCATCGCCCAGGGGCTTGTGGACACACTGCCCCTCTCGACATCACCCTGCTGTATATATGTTAGCACCCGTGTCTGCACCAGGCCTGGGCGGGAAGCTTTTGCAGGTTCTAAGGTAACACAGTAGCAGTGTATGGCACGTGGGCTGCAGGAAGGCAGGAGGTTTGAAAGCCTCCAGCAGACACCAGCCCAAAATAGCTACCTCCCCTAGAGCTGGCTTCTGTTAACGTATCAGGTCCCTGTTCTCCAGGTGCCCTTTGCTTCTCTTGCCTCTTCGTTGGGCGTCTGAACCCCACGTTCTTCCATTCTTCCACTCCCTGCTCCATCACGGCTTCTGCCTGGGGAAATCAGGAGAACTTTGGGCCATAGGCCTCCCTTGGCAATAACGGGGTTCTTCTCTAATAGAAACTGACCTGCTGCTCTTGCCTTGACTAATGCCCTGTTAGCTACAGGGCAGTAGAAATCTCTTTCTCCGTTGTCTTGGCTGTTCAGGCCTCAGTTGGATTTCTCCATAAGAGGCCCCCTGACAGCTCTGGTCTCCTCTCAGGTATATCGCGGGCCAGGGTTCTGTGTCTCAAAGGCCCATCCTGGGGCTCCGAAAGGGGTGTGTCAGTTTTTCTGGGCTTTGCAATGTAAACATTGACTCTCACATTGATGGCTTTTACTGTCCATGTGTATAGGATTTGTTTCTCTTTGTATTTCTAAGCACAAGACACTTCTCGTAGGAAAAAAATGTTTAAAAAGTGCCTTATTGACATGACCTCGCTCTGCACGGCAGACAGAACGAGCCATGCTTTCTAAGCCGATGCAGGCTGCCTCCTGCAGCTCTGTAGTTTCTGTTGGTTATGCACACCGCAAAAACACCAAAGCAGCTTTCAGCACTTTCGAAAGGAAGGTCTGATCAGGACAATAAGTGGGGTGCACAAATCCAGTCAGATTTCCCTGCATCCATCTTGCATTAGAGCACCCAGCACTACAGTGCAGTATCCTCACATCTCAAGGTGGAAAGGTTTCAAAGCCAGATTAAGTGCCAGCCATTCATTTTTGCCTAAGGGTGCTGCTGGCTTATAACATGGAAAATGCAGACAGACTCCTGGTTCAGACAGACCTCACCTGGTGCTAACAGCAGTCACTCAGTAGTGATTGCTGAGCCAGTAAGGAATTCTGTGCCCGAGATTGTAGTGTGGGTCATGTTTTCTGTCCTGTTTGAACCTCTGTTTTACAGGCTTGTTGCTGTTCATGATTGATGCCTTTGTCTCGTTGTATTGGTTTCTGCAGCTTTGCCTTAAATTGATTTGGGGAAGAGAATTCTTGGTCTGATTCTTCAGGCAGTGCAGTGAGTTATACCGGTTCAATTTGAGTATGTCTACAAATAGAGCAGTTGGCCTGAGGGCTGGGGTGTCTGTCATTGAGCTGTTTTCCTAAGGCAGCTTTCTCCCCTAGTGGTGAGAGCACAGCTTTGGAACTTTGTCCCTCACCCCCTCCTAGTGCATTTGGGGGATTCAGGAAATCAGACTCTCAAACTAAGTGCATGCAGCTGAGGCCAGGAGCATGTGTGTCAGACTCCCCCAGCTAACGGCCACCCTGGCCTCTGAATAACCCTTTAGCAAGCCGGCTGCATTAAGGGTTTGGCGGGGTCAGGGATTGAGAAGCAGAAGGAGATGGATGGGCAGGGCAGGAGGGCTGAGAGGGAGTAGGAGACTGATGGGCTGGGTGAGAGACGAGAATGTGAGCAGGCAGGAGACTGAGGGGGCAGGGTGGAGAACCCGTTCTGAAAAGGCTGAGCTCTCCCCCCATGTGCGGAGCCACATGCATGGTCATGCACCTGGTGCTTGAACAGCCCGGAGAGCGCTGGCCGGTGAGTCTCTGGGGTAGGAAGATTCCCTTGATAGTTCAGGTTCCTGCTCTGCAGGGAGGGTAGTGCCTTTGCTTCTCAGACCCCTCGCTCCCTCTGCAGGGCGGTCCAATCCCAGGCAGGAGGGCTCCAGCCATGGTTAGTGATAGGATGGCACTGGACTTGGTTGCTGCTTCTCTCATACGTTACAGTCTGAGCCTGGATCTCATGCTGCAGCAGCCTCTGGGGCCTCTTTCATGCCACCCTACCCACAGCGTCCACACAGCCCCTGCTGGAACCCTTGTCTTGCCTCCAGCTTTCCCCTAGCTCCCTTCCAGAAGCTGTCTTGGTGGGTCTTCAGCCCTGCTGCTGGGTCCACCAGGGCCTATGAGGCCCATCCCCTACAGGGATCTTGGCATGGCTATTGGCCCAATACGAGCCTAGCTCCTCTTCTGTGTTAGAGAAGAATGCGGCGACTCAGAAGTGGATGGGGTAAACGGAGCTGCTTTATTGCCCACTGTTATAAGTTCCCCCCATGGGGTTCAAGTCCCCCCTGTGACGGCGCGTTGGGGGTCCCCCGTCTCCTGCACCCCGAAATGGCACAAACAGACTCCACCAGCCAGTGGAATTGAGGGTGGTTTATTGCTCCTCCAGGATACAGCACAGCACAGATGTAATCTGGTTACAGGAACTAGGGCTAAGAGGCCTCAGTGCTCCCCTTGAGATAGGGGAGTCCCAGCCCCCCTCCCCAGCTCCTTCTCCCCTGCTTTCCAGACAGGAACTAACGAACTCTCTTCCAGCCCTCTTTGTCCCCCCCCAGGGGGGGTGTCTGGCCACTGGTTGCATAGTGACTCATCCTGTTTTGCTGGGTCGTGGTCCCCCCGCCAGCCAGTGGGGGTTACCCCAGAGCCAGCAGCATAGAAACCAGCCAGGTACCCCCACTACGTCACACCCCCCATTCCACCGAGGATGACCGAATAGATCCATGGAGAGGGACCAACGCTGCAGACTGGCCTATGGGCCTCCCTCTTGAATAGCAGCTCCCAGGTGGGTTGAGAGTGCTGGCACAAATTACACCCCTCGGTGAGCAGAGTTATGGGCAGAACAGCTCGGGCAGGACCCATCTCCCTTTGTAGCTTCAGAATGAGAATTGGAGCCTGGTTTCTGGGATGGCGACGCCTGTTTCTAGGCGCTCTTCCAGACGGCAGAGCTGAGCTAGAGAGTCTGCACCATCGGATACGATTTGTGCCGAATGGAAATCAGGGCCCACATCCTGCCTGGCACAGGAAGCAGCCCCTGCCACTAGAGCGGGCAGTGGGTCAGAACGGAAAGGTTCCACTTGTAACTCCAACCAGCCGCCCCGTCCCTCCAGCCCTGCCCTCTGGATGTAGGCCTTGTGCCTGGCATCCTCTGCCCATGGGGCTCAGTGTCCTCTGGGCCCGGCCGTCTGCCCCACAGGGTCCTGCCTGGGCGGGCTGCCCTGTGCATTTCAAACACCGGGCTTTGCAGGGGTTTATTTCTGTGCCATTCAACAGTTCTCTTTCTGTAGGACCTACAGAAAAGTGGCTGCATTCCCCAGGTGCAGCAGCAGCTCATTCCCCAGCAGCAGTGGCAATGCCACTGACCAGCCCTGAGGGGAGGTCTGTGCCTGCACCCGCCTTTGACCCTGTCCTTGTGCTGAGTTAGAGGGGAAAAGGGGGCAGGGGCCAGCTTACTGAATGGGCCCGTGCCATGGACACAGGCTTACTCTGCCCATTCAGCCAGGAGAGGGGGCTTTTTAACTAGCCCCCCACACCACCTGGGCCCTTCCGTAAAAATGTCAAATGTCCTAGGTCTGCTACCGCTCCTTGGGGGGGGGGGGAGAGGGGTTT